GGGTGGGGGGATGGGGGGGGGGAAGGGGACGACGAACATCACACAGGGCAGAAAGACGAACACACATCGACCTTGAAGTAAAATGCTCTAATCACAAGCTCGGGGCTCCTGTCAATCATGGCCTTTCGCAAAAAAAAAAAAGAAGCAGTGGGAATATACATTTGTGTGCGGTATTGTACATGACTTACTTCAGGGAAACCGCGGAACGTGCGAACGGTTAGGGTTAGCCGCCGGAAACAGGGCTCAAGCACTGGGCGAAGGAAGCGCTGGTGGCGCGCCTTGACCGTAAGGGTGCTCGAGGCCGGGTTCTTTTCGACAAGAAAACGCGTGCATATACCGAAGGCAAAAAACATCGGCACGGAAACAATCCAAGGCCCGCAACTATGTTACGAGTCAAACCACACAAAACTAGTTGATATTTCTACTGTCTAATTTGGGAGAAACATCCAAAGAGAGCGAGCGACTGATATCAGGTGTGAAGTACTGCTGTACACGCAGGTCGCAGGACCGTAACCACGAAACAATGCATCGCACAAAACCCGCCGCCACCGCCACGTCGAACATCACATACAAGTCGTTTGACACGACATCGCAATGCGAACACATCATCACATCGCGTCACAGCGCTCTGTCAACAACACACACGCAACCCTACTTCCCTCCCTTCGTTCCTCGCCCATCTCCTCTCGTCAGAAGCAACACATGAACACGAAAAAATAATAATAATAATAATAATAATAATAATAATAATAATAATGTGGGTGCCCATCCTGGTGGCCTTCCTCGCACCTTGGGCTTGTGCGGAGGGACCATGCGCTTGGCGTAGAGCTCTCGCCAGTTGAAGTCGACCTCGTTGAACATGGGGTGCGACATGATGTCCTGGATGCCTCCGCTGAGGTTTCCCAGGCGGTAGGTGGCGTTTGGGGTGAGCAGACGTCTGATGAGGTCCTGGGCCGTTGCGGGGAAGCTATCGTCGCGCGTTTTTTTCCGGGCATGGAGGAGAGAGGGAAGAGAGAGAGGAGGCGGAAGAGAGGGCACGAGGGCGGGGGGGGAGGGGGGGGGGGGGGGGGG